GGATCAAATATATGGTAGCTGAAGGAAACTGGACTCTGGGTGGTAATCACACAATAGAATATATAGATGTCAAATTATAATGTACACCTGAAAATTATATAATTGTATTAACTAATGTTACCCCAAACTTAAAAAAATAAAATAAAATAAAACTAATGAAGCTTCATGATAGGTACGTGGGGATTCAAATATACTATTCTCCCTACTTTTGTGTGTTGAAATGTTACTGTAACAAAATGAGTTTGTTTGTTTGTTTGTCTACTGTGGTAATCCATGAGTGAAGTCTTAAAAACCTTGACACGGGTGGTGGCAGGGAAAAATTTTTAAAAAGGACTACTAATTCAACAGATATTTTGGCCTTGATAACAGACTTGATATAACAACTTCTGCTGAGGAAAGAAACAAAAGTAACTCATTTATATAGCCTTGGAAATAGAGTAATGTTGTGAAAAGGAACCTATCCATTGTCTATATATTCCTGAACTTTAAATGAAGTACCTCATTGATCTGTACAATTAAAATGTATATGGAAATTGATAATCTGTGTAAGTTAAATTTCTGTCTATAAATTTTGTTCTCTATCAACTGCACCACATGAAAAGAACTGGATGGATTTTCATCAAATTTAGAGGGTCTGTTTGGGAAAATCTGCCTATCGAAATATAGCCTTATTTGATCTATACAAATAGACCAAATTTTGGGGGGCCCTAGAGGTGACTCTTTTATTTTAAGAAACGTTCATGTTATTTTTTTTTTTTAAGTTTTCTACAATTTGAGTCCAGAAATTTACCTTTGTAAACAATTTTCCAGGAATCTTTTTGGTAGAAGCACCCAAAATGTCCAAATGTTTGTTTTCCCAAGTAATATATTTTAAATGTTCTTGAGATAGACATGAGATGTTACACCAGACAAAATTGCTACCTTGAAGATGAACGATCTTTACTTCCATATCTGCAAGAGCTTTAAAAGGAGAATTTTTTTTAAATATTAAATGTCATTCTAGAAGGGATACTTCTTGGGAGAAAAAAAATGGAGAGATGGGCTTTTAAAAGGTGAATGAAAGTGATACCTAATGTAAAAAAAAAAAAAAAAAACATTTGGAGCCAATTCAGAAAGACATGATCTCAGTGAGCAGGCTCCCACTGAGTCAAATGTTCAAACTAAGAAAACTTAAGCTCCTAAAGAGGGGAACAGTTCACGTTCAGAGCAGCCGACACCTGAGGCTTCTATGAGGGACACTCAGGAGGTACCCCACACTCTTGTACAATTACTCGAAACTAAAGTTCTGCCTGAGAGACATTTGGCTGCAAATACAGAGAAAAGGCCACATGGATTAAGATACCACAAACTGAGAAAATAAACAGTGATTTCAAACTTAAGCTTTAAGTCAATTAAGCTAGGGAAGCTAGTATTATTTTGCAATCTGTGTTCCTATTGTCAAGCCCAAAGGTACTAATCTGTTCTAACAGGAAACATGTGACAGATCCAAACACAGAGCTACGAAAATCTTCATTTTCACTCTCAGATTAATAGCCAGAATCTTGTCACTTAAACAATAATATCTAGACCTAAACCAATATATTTCAATGAAGTTTTGCAAAGTAGACCAATATTTATTGTCTGAAACCATGGATTTCCTTGAGTCAAACCTTCACTTTCAAACATCTATAGTTTCCAGTAAGTGCCTACTCTGGTGTTATCATTACAAGATCAGATGGTCTAAACATTTAATTTGTAATCATGTTCCTTCCAACATGGGCAACCC